CAAGGGAAAGAGCAAGTGGTCCTAAGAAAAAACATCGCAAACAAAACAACTTAAGGAAACAAAACTTGTTACAGTTGCCAGCACAGAAAGAATCCCCCACGGAGAAGGCACTTGGATAATAATCAACATGCAATGGTAAATTACTTACATGTATGCAAAAAACGGAAAAGTTACAATCTCTACAAAAAGGTGACAATTTTCCCAGTAAACGGTTGTGCATAATGTTCTAACACCGCATAGCGGTGCAGGCTTAAACATTTGTTACAATGTGATAAACACTTCAATTACGCATCTAGCAAATGTTCCGGGGGAAGGGGAGCAACATACTCGAAATATCAAGCCCTAACTCTCCCATGTGTAGCCATTAAATCAAGAATCAAAACAATCTGGAAAAATTCCTCTATACCTACTGAAGACTGATCAAAGACCAGGACTGAATCTTTCCAGCCTTTTAACACCACTCTGACAAGTCGCTTTAATAAAACGTAACTTCCCTCAGTAACAACTAGCACTTTCAAACAGTGCTAGTTGTTACAATTAGCACTTTCAAAGGGTACTCCTTTTTTCGGATTACAGGGAAACATCACGCTTCTCTACTCCTGCAGAAATGTGAGGAAGGGAAAAGCAAAAATGGCGTGCCGTGCTGGCAAATTATTACACAGAAATAATACTTTTTTTTTGTCCTGGGACGGGGATCGGGGGTGGGGTGGGAGGAATCAAGTCTGAGGTCTCTGCAGTTGAAACTGGTGGGACACGCTACAAGTATTACAAACGGGCCTGGCCACTTTTACTATATCGGGGGCCACAGGCAATGGGGGCCCTCCTCGGCCGGCCTTGTCCCCTTCCTTCCCCCGGATCCCTCCCCTAAAGGGAGCCTCGTGGCAACTCGGGTGATGAAACACCCGGCAACGAGCGGCCACGCACGGCGGACGCGCTCAGCCTCGGCGGCCGCAGATTGTACCCACCCCCACCCAGTCCACCCAGCCTCTGGGAGCATCGCCATGGAGGGCCCGACCCGCACCACTCCCCGACATGGGGGATCCCCGGGCCAGTCCTCCCGGCCAACTTCCCCGCAGCCTCGCGTGGACCGAGTCGGGTCCGAGTCCCGCCCCGAGCCCCGAGTCACCTTCCCTATCACTCCATCCCGCCTCCCAGCCTGCACTCCCGAGGGCCGGTCAGCAGAGCGGAGCGGCGCCGCAAGCAGGGAGCAGGGAGAGCGGCCCTCGTCCTTGTCACCGTCGTCCTCCGCCACGGCCGCAGCGCTAACCCCGGAGACAGAGCTGGCCGGGGCCGCGCGCCTCTCGCCGCTCCGCGTCCCCTGGCGCCTTCTATTGCGTGGCGCCGGGCAGGCAAGCTAGCAAGCTGGCAGGCGGG